AGGATGCCACAGAAGGATGGGAAGTTTCAACAAAACTCTCTCAAATGGACCGTGCTGAGGCGCAGCATCACATCCATCAAAAACAGACTACCCTACTGCCTGTACTGAAAAGTACTAAAGAATGGGTTGACCACAGGCACAAGATTTGAAGACTCCAGCTTAAGTATCAGCTACTGCCTCTACAAGTCACTTTTTAAAAGTACTTCAAAGTGGCAATTAATTATGGTATGATTGGGTTTTAAAAAAACCTTTATAAGAAAAATTATGAGAACGCAGTTTTAACCGACAAGTGTAAACCTGGTATTAAAATGTCAAGTGTACTATGCATTCTATAAATAGTTTAAGATGTTTAAAAGTTAGATATCCCCAAATGCCCTTTTTAGGGCTGTACAACGTAGACTGAGACTCCTCATGTGTTAATTCAAAGTACATTTTTTCACCTCATCATTAAAAATCATATGCCTATCAAAACAGAATAAAAGTGCAAAGCTTCAGAGACAAATTTATACCTTAATTTCTATCCCAAACTCGCATTAAAATTGCCTGTCTCAGGCGTATTCAGAGATTACATGATCCACAGAAACATCCTTGTACTGGAACACTGCCCTTAGAGGGAAGTCTCACATCAGGACACATTTTCTCCGCGTTCCAGATGCATTTTGCATTCTGTGGCTTGCCCTTTATCCCACGCTGTGTTACGTCTCTTATGAGTAACCGTTGCCTGGGGTTTTCCGTAGTTAAGGCTGAAGGTTTCCTTGATTATCAACATTTATAACATTTGCCGGCTTGATCCCACTTTCGATTTGTTTCTGATGCGAAGCTGCTGTGACAAACAAATGGGAAGGTTCCATTGTGGAATGGTGACTGACGTCCGCTTTCACCAGCACTTCGTAGTACAGGAGATAAAAAACTGGAGTTACTATGCCAATAATCAACATAATCACTACAGCTGTCCACCATCCTATACCCCAGTCTGCTCCGTAGTAAGGATCCTTGCATTTTTTGGTTTTGCCATCAGTTTCAAAACAGGTCTGTTGGGCTGCTAAGGCAGAAACAACTTCATTAAGATTCTCTCTCTTTGTATCATTACACTTCACTATTTCTTCTATATCTCGATCCACTTCTTTTAAGAAGTTGCCAGCAGTCTCATTAGCAGAGAATTTATCGGAAGGTGACGCTTCCTGCACTTCTGAGGAACAGTGAGCAGGCCGCAGGACCGGTCTTCCTTTTGGAGAAACGTGTGTTTCGGTCAATACACTGAACTTTTTCACGGGAATTTTGATAGACCTTAGGGCAAAAAAATCTTGATCGTTGATAAGATTGTTAACTCTCTTGATATCCGCAACCTAAAAATAAAAACAACAGTTTAAAGATCAAAGCCCCATTGAACCGAAACTCTTCATTAATGGAGTACTACATCCTTGAGAAATACAATTCCTCCCTAATGAAACAAAGGCGGGGCCTTTGTTTTGTTTTGCTTCATTTTTAAAAGAATACCCATTCAAACAGTATGAAGTGAGAAGAGGTCAAAGATCAGATCTGAAGAACGTTGAACCAAGAAGGTAAGTACGAAGTAACAAGCCGCCTCGCTTCAGAAGACTGGAAGTAAAGTCACGCATGTATATTCACTTAATGTATACGCATCTACCTGTGGCAACTATCTCTGTGAAAGGAATGGGACTTTGCCTCAGTGTTTTCAATTATAGTAAACTACTGTGAGTTCCTAATTAAACTGAAAACTTCCGAGTAAGGAATATTAAAAACTATGAGCTTCCAATTCACCTAACCACAGCTGTGGTTTGGACA